CATTATGTGTATCAATTCGAATATTAATATTATTTTAATTGCAGAAAACAGAAACTCAAACTAAATTGGAAATGCTAAAATAGTTAATTTTAGTTTATTTTGAGAGACCAAACCATATTAAATGTTTGAAGCAAATAAAATAAATTGCACACCTTTTGCTTTTATTAATGAAATATTGATTTTTGATTAAATTATTTTTTTCATGTACTTTGATATTAGAGTACATACTTCAATTATACATGTATATGTTTAATTTACTGTTCACAATTTTTAAACTTAAATCAATAAGCAACCCATAATTTTGAATTTTGAAAAAAAACATGGTGTCGTTTACGTTTTCCAATATAGCCATATCTGCATTCTGCTATTTTATATATTGTCTGTTTATATGAATATTTTATAAAAGTGATATTTATATTTATATTGAATTCCCTTTTTATTGTTTATACATCAGTTTATTTATCTTTGCTTTAATATGTTTTGATACTGGCTTTATTTGAATTATTTTACAGCACATTTCAAATATTTTCCGTGTACACTTTAACAAATATTCAGCTTATTTATTATACATATTTTGTAGCTGTTCGCACTTTCTATCTGACGCACACGTACACGTACACTTCCACTTCTATTCGCTCAGCCATTTATGGCATGTTTACATTTTGGCCAATAAGTTTAGCTGCTGGTGTTGTGAATATTATTTGTATGTAGGCTTTTTAGTTACTTTTCAAAATGTACCGCTTTCTTTCATCACTTTTGCGCTTACGTGCGCTTTCCCGCTGTTTCATCCGCAACTGAGTTGAGTTTTCCCAAGCAGCGCCCTTTTATATGCTTTTCCCGAACGTTTCGTTAAATATTGAACGTCGTTGGCCGAGGAAAAGCGTGCATGGCAAAGCTTTGGCAGCCACCAAGCTTTCAACCGCACCCAACGAAACTGCTTTCAATGCAATGCTTTCAATCTAATTCGACGGTTTACAGGTGTCCGTTTGGCATCAATTGCCACTCATTTTGTTTTTGGCTTGTGTTGCATGTGCAGCAACAGCAAGAACAACAACAACAACAACAACTACAACTAAAAGAGGGCAGTGCACTTAAAGACTGTTTTAGTTGTTGAACTCGTGGTTAACCAAAACAAAATAGAAAAAATAAATAACAAATACTGATGTCAGCTTGTTGCTGCTTGTGGCACATTGAACCCACTTGTTGCTGGCGATGTTCTCACTGGGCCGTTCAATTTTAATTTTTGAGAGCGCTCGCGAAAGTAGGCAACACATTTTGTTTGTTTATTCACGTTTTTCGCATAAAGTACAAGCTAAGGCCAACACTTTTTGAAGACGAATCAATTATTAAGGACACAAACGCGCCAATGAACATAAAAATGCCATTAATATGTTTAAACAGCAGCAAAAAACGTTTACTGTTTAAACATTAATGCCAATCGTTGTGGAGTTTAAATTAGAACTTGATGAATTATTGACAAGCCAAAGCAAAACAACAGCAGCAGACAAAGATAATGAAAGAAGCAAAAACAATAAAATGTAGACTCACAACTTTGGTCGTAAAAGGCATCCCAAACCTAAATAAGGTGCATAAAGGCATTGCGGTAGGCGTGCCTCACAATGTATCAACAGTAGGAGACACTGAAAAAAGCGCAAGGATTGAAAGCTATAAGCAGCCCAAAGCGACAACCAAAACAAAGGCGCAAATCAATTGTGGAAGCCACATGACAGCAATGTAAGGACAATGACTAAAGTAATAGCAACAACCATGATGTTGATATACCGCTCATGCATATGTAGGTGTACATATATGAGTAAATGTGAACAGCCTTGCCTCATTCTGTTTCCTTGTTCCTTCCCTCTACTGTGTTTGCTGCGTGAGTAACAAAATAAAAACATTTTTCTAATTTCCTGTCATCAATATAAATGAAATGTTCGAAAGGGGAGGAAGGAAGGAGGCAACATAGCAAAACAAACAGTGGAATGAATGAATAAACAAAACGACAATAGAAGCTAAGTCAAGCCAAGCTGTCGTTATTGAAGTGTGCTGCGATTGATTATAACATTAATATTTAAAGAAAGTTAAACTGCAACCCACAAAATTTCTGGTATACATTTTGTGTCAAAATAATTAATTCTTTTTTTATTACCACAAAGTGCTATACACATAAATGGAAACAAAATTATACTTAAGAATTATAATGTATATCTTAGTTATATTTTAGACGAGCATATCGTCAATTATTGTTGCACAGTGTGCTGTAAAAAGCGTTTTTGGGTAATCCAAAGAAGGGAAACGCGCTCCAAAATTTGTTTGAAAAATATTTTCTTGGAGCTTGAATTATTGGGGTTTTAATATTTATTTACATTTATTCCACTGAAAAAAATTTTGATATAAATTTAGTCCGATCGATTTAAAATTTGGGTTACATAATCAACATAAGTATATCTACAACTTGGATTTCAACGATTCGCCAAGCTACCAAAACAAGTATCAAATAGTTGGGAACATCACATACGTTAGGAAATACATACTCGAATAATTATTTCAATGTTATTGCACATACACGTAGTCTATTTAAAACGTTGCGTTATGTATATGTATGGTTTTTTTATTTATTTATTAAATGTTCCTATGCGATGTGAAAACGACATACGAACAGTATGTATATGTATGTATTCTGTACTGTATTCTGAAAAATTATAAGATCAATTTAGCCTTAAGCTATTCTGTAAATATACTCTTGCAAGTTACAAAAGCAAAAATATAGTTTCAAAACTCACAACATTCATATTTTTAATTAAAAACATAAAATAGTGTTAAATTGAAAAATTGAATTTATGCTACACGCATACTATATGTACATACATGTATATAGGTAGATAGCGCTTGCATGAAAAATGTTTGTACATATTTACATACCTAGACACATATTTACATACTATACATACACACATATGTGAATTTTTCAACACATCTTCTTCATTGGGACTTGGAATACGAAAACTATTGTATGTAAATATGTAAGTTAGTAGCTGCAATCAACGCAAAGCTCAAATGGTAAGCGTTAAAAAGCTGAAATTTAGACACAAGTTTCCTGTTAAAGTGTAGGTGACTTTAACTTACACTTGGGTTATTTACTCTAAGAAAGAATACAAGATAAACTGCGTAATGTTCTTGGAAGAAGAAATAATTATAATACATACATACACACTTATTTTGTGCATATTCATACAAATGTATGTACATATGTATGTACAAATGTATACTCCTTTATATGTTTTACAGTTTCATCAGTTCAACAAATATCTTTGCCAAATCTTAGAGCTTTTAATCAAACTACATAAATATACATACATATGTATGTAAATAGTTCGTGTATGGTGTATTGTGATTTAGTTTTTCAGAAATTTCACAATTTAATTCTCGATTTGCCAGCGCTTAGGTACTTGGTATGAGAATCGCAGAGAAGGGCGGCCACAATACACAGGGTATACTAGTTCTAACACACAGAAGGACAGACCCCCAAAAGTATATATATATTATTGATCAGGATGGCAAGATAAGTCGATATAACCATGTCCACTATTCTGATGAAAATTTATTCTATTGATATTGTACAATACACTTATTCATGTATGCATGTGTTGAATATTTTATATTTAATTTAATTAATTTAATTAATTTATTTAAATACTTTTTTTTAATTTTCCTTTTTTGTGGAGAGTACAGGGTATTTTACTGTCGGGCTTCCTCGACTATAGCGTTCTATCTTGATTTATTTAATTTATCAGAAATTTCACAATTTAATTCCACAATATTATTATTTAATTTTTCAGAAATTACGCAATTTAATTCTCTATGAGAACCGCGGAAGGAGTATCTTAATAGGCACATAAGTTATTCTGAAATGTGGTTTTCCGCTTATCGATACTTTTTAATCGATCCTTACAAGCCTAGGAAGTCTACGAATATAATTAAATTAAATGATACTTAATAAATTTCAAAATTATTCCTACTAATTAAATAGTTAGTTAAAATTTAAATTATACGAAGAAAGTTAAATGATAATAAGATTAGTGCTTTAAAAGCACTTCTTGCTATGAGTAAGGCTAAAACTTCAAAGCAGTTTCCCATTACAAGTATAAACATTTGCTTTAGATCTCAACTAAATTAATTTGCTTAAATTATGTGATATATATGTATAGTTTAAATAGCGTCAATTTGTGTATATTTGTGTATATGCATGTGCTTATCAGCAATTTAATTGTGTATGTGTAAAGTTCAGAGTTCCGCTGGGGCAGAGCTTGGGCGACGGATTACTATTATGGGTATAACTTCTTTTCAAATTTGCTTATCACGATAAAACACTGCGGGCTCACTCCTTGGAAGTTCTTGCTAAATTTGAGCTTAAATTCAAAGTTTTGGAAAACCACTTATATCGGGGAAGCCGGGGAAAGAAGAAAATTTTGAATTACACTTGGACTGCGTACACATATGTGGCATCTGTGTGCATTTGTGCTGATATCTCAAGATCTTATAGTCTTACAGGGTGGTACATAAAAAACAAAAACTCATACTACGTACACATAAAAATTTAGTGTCTCTAAGTTGTATGGTCTCTGAGACCCAGGTGTTCATACGGGCTTCCTCGAGAAGTTTTTTCATCCTGATATACTTCGTCGGGTCTGCCACGCATTCTTCTGTCTTTTTCACTTTGCACAAGCCTAATCTACTTTTGTAGCTTGAAAATAGTATAACTACGTGTTTTTACTTTATTTCTTAAATTAAAAATTAGTTATACATTTAATTAATCAAGAAATCACTGACCTTTAGAATACGAATGAGTAGAAAATCTTTATTGGCGGCGATGAACGCCAATTGGCAGTGTCATGAGTGTAAGCAATAGATATTATAGAAATAAACAACAAAGCTCATATAATATAACAAATGATAAATGCAAATGTGTTGTGTTTTGGAAGTAGTCCTCTGCGATGCGTCTAGAAGAGACGCACACGCTTAATGGCACGATAGTGGTAACCATCGTCTAGCAAGGCGGCGCTCTCATCATTATCTGGACCATCGGCCACAACGACGTTGTCCCCCAATGGCGGCAGATACTCACGTGTGGGCAGCTCCTTAATTTCCGGCACCGGCGACAAGTCGGGAATGAACGCAGGCTTGTTATAGTGATAGCCATCGGCCTGCAGAGCTCCGGACTCGACGGGCTCGTGTGTTTTCAGCTCAGGTTCCTCCTCTAACACAGCCTCAGTCGTAGCCTCGGTAGTTGGCAGTTCCGTGGTCGTTGGCTCTGGTTCAGCTTCTGTTGTTGTAGTTGGTTCCGGCTCTGGCTCCTCCTCGACCAGCTCATTCACAGGTGCTGGCGGCAAATACTCGTTGTTCGGCTTGGGCTCAACTGGTGGCAAATAATCTCGCGCTGGCTCCACCACGCTTGGCAGGCTTGCTGCTTGACGCTCCACCGGGGGCAAATAGTCGCGACTAGGTAATGGGGGCAGCTCTACAGGTGGCAAATACTCCAAAGGCAAGTGCGAGACATCTCGACGCTGGCGCAACCTATAGCGGCGATGACGCACAGTCCTATAGACATAGCCTTGGGATTGGTCCTCACTCGTCGACTTGGATGCTTGCAGCTCGGCGGGTGGCAAATACTTGGGCGCCAATTCGCTGACATCGCGCCTCGAACGCAGTGACGCGGCGCTGACAGCTACCAGCAGAAGGCTAAGCACATAAACAGTTCGCTGCGGGCCCAAATGTTTGAATCGGGAATGAATATGTTAGTGATGGCACCTCTGGAGCTCTGTCTGTCCAACTCACCATCTTGTTGCTCTCTGGCTGTGACTGTTGCTACTGATACTCGTAATCTTCTGTCGACTCTGACTGTTTTGGCTGTTTTAACTACTTTAGTGGCTCGACGGTCGTGCTCGACCTGCTCTACTTGACCAGAAGTTGCGCAGTGTTTGGCACTTTTGAAATTGTTTTTACTATTTATATGAAAAATTAGCACCGATTGCAATCGAAGCATCGACGTTCGCTTCAAACGCGTCATCAAGTTCGATCAAACAGGCCGTGGCTGCCCCAACCGCTCAATGTTAGTTTAACATTTAATTTTGGAAAATGTTTACATACACTTCATAATAAGATTATAGTTGTAGTGTGGCTTATGCCCTGCAGACTCTGCAAAGTACGTGAGAGACAAAAGAAAATATTATTTTTAAAAAGAATTTCCGGTGAATTAAAGAAGTTTTTTTTTACTTTTAAATAAACTCTTATATCTTACCCAATCACTTGAAATGTGCATTGCTAATAGAGTTTTTATTAAGTAAGCTAAGTGACATCTCATAATGAGATTATAGATTAAAGAGAAACTTTTAAATCTTACCCAATCACTTGAAATGTTCAGTACTAATAAACTTTTTATTAGGTAAGCAAAATACAAGTACTGTATATTAGGTATGAACCAAGACTGTTTTAGGCCAGGTTGACATTGTGACCTTAATATGCTGGTTTTGATTGGATAGATGAGATATATTTGTAATGCAGTCTAGTCTAAAGTGCTCCAAAACAGGTATATAACATTCTGCAAAAGGCAGAGAAGTTTGGAAAGGCATGAAAGCAACTAAAGAGCATTTATCTTACTATAATATAAACGTTTATTTGGTAAGTGTATACATGTTCACTCGTATTTATTCTTAATAACGGGGATTTGAAAGTTTGACAATTAAATTAATTTATTTAAGGATAATTCGTAATATTCAAGAGAGTCACAATTTTAAAGCGTATATAAGCTTCGTTATTATTGAATTCTGTCACTTAACATTAAATTTGGCAATTATGATTGTTGTTGCTGTGCCATTGTTTTCTTTGCGTCGGCGCTTCATTAAACACACTTAGCACTGTTGCCGTTGTTGCTGTTGCTGCTGCTGCGCTGTTGCTGTTGCTGCTGCTGCTGCTGCGCTGCTGGTGATGCTTCCGCAACACTTCAAAGAGGTATTGCTTACATGCTTCATACACTTGACGTTCATCATCTTCGAACCCGTTCCAACCAGCGCCATTAGGTTCGAGCAGCGCCCCCACATACAGTAGCTTCCAGCTTATTACGACCAGTAAAGCTTTAAAGTCAAAGTGTTTCTCTCTTATTCCGAATAATTTTCCGCAAAGGCATTTCTGATACTTTTACCTTTCGCGTTGTAGCGATATACGGAGTTGAGTAAAAACACGATGCACACCAGGGAAGACTTTCCATTCTTGGCATAATGCGTAAAACTTAAAATCAATGTTTTAAGTCGCCAAAAAAGTTCCAATAAAAAACACCAGCTTTAATAGCGTAGAACCAAATATCTTCAAAAATTATACGCAATACTATATATGAAATTTCGAATAGTTTTGTCATATATCTAATTAGAGCACTTTGAATTTTAATACTGCACTTGGTTGAAGTAAGCTGGGATCCACTGTAGCTCTAATCGCTTTAGATGTTGTTGAGCGAACGGCTTGACTGGCACTTGAACGGCATGGTCATGATGCCTTCGTTCAGGCGTTCGTTCGTTCGATGGATCGTTTTGATTGACTCCGTCCCGTAACAATGTAGCGCCATCAGCAGCAACCACAACAGCAACAACAAGCAACAATAGCAACGCAACTCATCCGCCCGACACTTTGCTGAGTAAATAGGAAGACGCTTTGCTGTTTGTTGTTGGTTTGTTTGGTGGTTTGTTTGCCTGGCTACCCGCTTGCCTCTGTGACTGCTTGTTTGCTTCGGCAGAATATTTCGCATTCAATTTAAAAACTGTCAATATTTTCCTTCACGCACACACACACACAAACACACCCACAGACACACACTCACACACACATTCTACAAATAGCTTAAGCCCATTTTCAATGTCCATCAAAACGCTTTTCAATGTCAAATGTAAGCGCACGCCTCTGGAGCTGAGTGGTTGGCTGCGACTGCGTCCAAGAGTATATCGATCTTGGATCCATTGTTTGTACGCGCTTTGGTTACAATGTCAAGTTGAGCATTCCAAAAATTGTTTAGCGCAATACCTGCTGGTGATATCGAGGGTGATGTTGATGATGATGATGATGCTGGCGATGATGCGGCAACTTTTGCCACCTCAGAATTGTGCCACGGTGGTCACGAGCCGGTCTGCGCTAACACTAAATGCTGCATCATCGTTTGTGGCATTAGACACAGTCCATAAGCACATTATCCAGTTGGGGCTGGTGCAGCTGCAGCTCAACTTATCACACATACGTCACGTTGCGCGTACTCGCTTATTAATTTCCATCTAAGCCGATTGCCAAACTGAATTTAAGAAAACTCAACGAAGGTGGCACACAATAGGACCAGATAGCGGAATAGGAGCGTCGGCGAGAAGCGTTATGCAAAAATGAATGAAAATTTTTCAATCAAAAGCAGTAAACCAAGTTAAGCTCTCTGAAATCCATTTCACCATTAAAAATATTAGTCCGAGCACGATGTTCAATTACACAGTACAGTAAAACGTAGCAAATAGGAATCTCCGTATTTTGCTACTTGTGAGACTATTATATATATATTATAACAGCTTAAATCCCTAATATTTCCATGATGTGAAGTGATATTATTATTATTCATTACATAATAAGTAGGTCTCTATCAGTAAAATTGAATGGTATTTAAAAATGTTTGTTTAGCCTACGAGTGGTGTTAAATGTTGTCTTGGAATTAGTAACCTAGTTAAATCAAATCCATTGATTAATAATTTACTCTACTAGTGAGCAATATATTCGTGGCAAATCGCTTATGTACAATTGAAAAAAGATCAAAACACCACTTAAGCAGCAACATCAGAAATAGTGCTCTTGATAAACATTCATTCATGATTTCATTTTATGATTTCAATGAGTTTATCAAGTATGTATAAAAGAACGCTGGAGTAAACCAGTATATCCAAACAATTCTACTAGTTATTTATAGTCAATCACTAAGCGTTGACATAAATGTTAAGGGTTCACTTAACTCTACATATAGCTTTTCAAATAGTAGTATAAATCAATTAATCAGGTCTGTTTGTAAAGCTGTATGTCGTTATTCCGCCATTTTGTCAAATGTGTAGATATGTTAAGTTTGTAGAAAACAAGACCGAAGACTGAGAGAACTCCGCTGTGATCATAAATGTTGAATATTTATAAATGGATTGAACTTTAAATACGTGGGGTGTTGGTGTAAATACTTATAGCGCAAAGACACTTAGTTGTTTGTATTATTATAATTTATGCAACAATATAAAGACCGAGAATAGTTTACAATAAAATTATATATATTATATCCCGAATTCAGTTTTTTGCTTACTAAACTGCAAGCTAATGAGAGTTGAACTAATAGTTTATGTCATTTCACATTCTGTGCCCAAGCATGATCCAAGTTATAGCTATACCAATACTCCTATCAGCCATATATTTAAACAGTGTTACTTTCCCTTTGAATTTAAATTAAATTTTCATTACATTTTCATTTTCATTTATAAGCATTTTTTGAGTAAGATATTTGCTAACGCAAGCGAAATGGTTTTAGCCGTTGTCATTGGCACACTAAAGTTCAATCTATTTTGTTCGGCCACAGTCCGCGGAATACGAAAAAATTGAAAAAGTTGTTCGCACCAATGCAGTTGTTTGCCTAATGGAAAAGCAAAATATTTTGATAGGAATTTTAACTAAACTGCGAGGGGCCGTTGGTATTTAGGGCGATGACGCCAACGATACGCTTACAACGGTTGGCAGGAGCTGCGGAAATTGCATAAGCGGCAAACGCAGCGGCAGCAGCAATCGAAGCACCATCCTTGCTGGTCGCCCTCGCATTCCGCGACATGCAACTAAATTTCACAATGAAAACCGCGCCATGCAACTGAGGTAGTCGGAATGTTTGCCCAATTGCAACTGTGACCGAGTACGAAAAATTTGCTCAGCTGTGCAACAGCAGTGGCACGGGGATGGGTAGTGGGAGAGGAAGTGGAAGTGGAAAGAACGGCTGACAGTGCAACGCATGTCAAACGGAAATGTGAGTTGCGCACATGAATGCCACAGTGGCCAGCTTTCAGTATTGCTGACAAAACAAACCAACGAACCAATCTCTCTTCTCTTCATGTTTTTTAATTTTTTTCTTCATCCAAAAAATAAAAACTGTGAATGCAAATTGGAAAGCAAAACCTCTGCCGACCATCTATATGTCTGTATAGTGTGTGTGTCAGTCTTTTAAAATCAATTTTGCGAACAGACTGTTGCTAAAGCTGTCAATGTGGCTAGGCAATTGAATTTTGTTTTAAAATGAATATCTTGCCATAAATGAAAAAGTCTCTTTAGATTTTACAGCAAAGCCTAAAGTATTTGTCCTCAATATTTATAAATAGCCAAATGCAGAGGCTAGCAAATTTCATGCCCTAATCGATGAATGCCAAACTTAAGTAAGAGCTACAATAAGAGCTACTTGAGGGCTTGTGAGAAACTCTTGAAAATGTTAATCCAAATAATACATAAAATTTATAAATAAAATCTACACTGAAACACAGGCAGCCGAGTAACCACAAATGTTAATATTTGGACTACGAGGGTAAAAGTATGAAAAATATTTATTTACTCAAAATAAAAAGATTACAATATAAGAAACTATTTTAATATTAAATATGAAATAAATTAAAAAATAAAATAAAAATCGAAAGATATTGTTTACAATAATCAAAATAGTTGTAGCTAATTTAATGATACAATACATTTTATACTTCCCCATTGTACATACAGCTGCTGTTAGCGGAAGAACTTAATCAAAACTATCTCATATAGTTAATGCATCAGCAAATGCCTTCTCTAAATACAATACTACTGTACAAAATATTTCAAATAAAAATGATAAATATTTGCAATTATTGCAAAGTTGCTTTCGTTTTTATTTCAACTTTGCCGCTACTTTGTCAAAATTACTCTTTTTCCATTCAACTGGAAAAGCGGCTTAGAACTCATACAGGTAGATTTTTATATATTTTTTATTCCTACTTCGATTTTAAAGAGCTTATTTTTGAAAGCCATACTTGTACATATAAACCAACTACTTGTTGTTTCTGAATTGCATTCCCTGAAAGATAATTGAAGTAAAATTTTTTGCGAGCTACATTGATATTTCAAATGTTTATTGCTTTAATGATGGAATGATGCAGCTACTCAAGAGGTATATTTAATTGAAAATTAAGTAATACTTGTAGTAAGCAAACAATTAATCACGTTGGAGCTTGCAACAACTATGCAAATGAGTGGGATTTACTGTACATACTTGTAGTTGTAGGCAAAGGCCATGGCTAATTGTTTACACAGTTGAGGTGTAACATTCACTGCTTAAATTACATTAAAAGCCGATTTTGTCTTCGTCTTCTGAAACTTTGATAGCTTCTTAGCCAATCAATTAATCAGTGAAAATATTCTAGCACTTTAAACAATACAACACTTCAATGCTACACCAATCAATGATTTAAATAAATTGTTTACAAGCACACCCTTCGTCATACAAAAATAAAGAATGGCAATCGACTTTCAAGAGCTACCATCAGATATGAAACCATTTGCACTAATTGGGAGATAAATTTAAACGAGCAAAGAAGTTCAGCGAAATGTGTGCTGTATATATACAATTATTGACTCGAAATTACCTTCGCGACATCTGTATTGTAGTGATGAAGGAAAAAGTGGAAGGAACACAATGAATGCACAATCCCCATAGGTAGTATGCAATAACGATTCAACTTCTGTTGCCATCTAATTGATCAATTGCTTGGTGCAATTAATTGGAGCTATTTCGTGCAACTTCAGAAGAACTCGTACATATCAGTAATGATTTAACTTCTGATATGCTTTGTATGTTCTTGGAAAGAGTATGCTGGAAACTGGTTTCCTTAGAACATAAGCCCTATTGTCTTAGTTAGTTTCAATTATTGGCATTTGGCTTTGCACTGATTGATGTGTGCTTTTGCATTCAGTGTTCGCCCAAGGACACTGCAATTGCGCTTATTGTTAGACACACACACACACACACACACACGCACACTTATACACATGTCTAGAGAAAGCGCAATGTAATCACGCCGTAAAATATGCAAAAGTTGCAGCCAAAGGAAAGCAACAACAAACACACAAGCAAGCAAACAGGCCGCAAATTAGACGCACTTCGCTTGTCTGTCGCTTTAACACATTACGGTTCAATTACGCGACGGCACGATGCAAGTGAGCATGTTTGTCTGTGTGTGTGTGTGTGTGTATCAAAATATCACTTTCTGCATAACAAAATCAGTTGAATGTGTCAGCAGTAAGGCAGAAAGACATGCCTCGCATGCCAAGCGTGACCGAGAAGCATGGCTGCTGTTTGTCTTACCAGGATGCGGGCGTGGGCAAGAATCTGAATGGCATCATCGGCTTAAACTGGCACAAAGTGCGTCCTAGGCAATGCATACTAAACAACCAACTATTCAGTTATGCAACAGCTGCAGTCAGTCAACCATTCAACCAGTCAGCTATCAAGACACTGTGCAAGTCATGCACACAGGCCCCAAAGATGCGCATTCAAAGTCATACTTGGTTAGCGCATATGAAAAGCAATTTGCGCCAAGAGCCTGCGAAACCAAGGTATAGGCAACTAACTAACACAACTTCCACTCCAAATTTAATTACAACTTTTTTTCTACTCTATGTAGGCGAAAAAAAAAGCAGCAGTTAGGCAATATAAACTTTTTCAGAAGATATGCGGATGCATATTGATAGAAGCTCAAATGAAATACTGCGAAAGCTCTCGGGATACCAAATCCAATTAGATTTGTACTCAAAATTACTTTAAGATGAATATACTAAAATCGATCGAAGATTTATATTGAAATAACATCACTTCATCATCTTCGTATATATATATTTTGGCACTGGAAAAAGTACTCAAATACAATTATATATCTGCTTCAAATTTTAATTATACATAAATAATAAATTTAATTTTCTGCAGGTTTGTTAAACTCTAACATTTCTGTAATTAGTTATTAAAAAACGCATAGCATATACTACTTATAAAACATATATATATTTCTACTTTAATGTTATTAAGAAAACACTAATTCGAATAATTCTGGCATGACTTTGACACTCTCCTACGTAACAATGGTAGTTTGTTCTGTTTTAAAACAAAGTCGTTTAAGCACAGATTTGTATTATTATTTGGTTTAGCCAATAACCGAATTTGAACCAATAATCTCTAACATTAACTCTCATCATTGATTTTTTATTATCTATACTTACAAGGCAGTTCTTTAAGATTCAGAATATTGGTTTTTAAATTTATTAAATTTAATCTAGAAAGGAATGCTTTAAAAATAATATTAAATAACGAACCAATTGTATTAAGAGTGGCGCATAGTCGAGTGTCGCGCTCTTCCCCGTTGACTCAGCTGCCTTTGGTAACCCTTTTAGGGCTGCTTTCACCCTTTTCCTTATTATTTATTACATTTCACTTCTATGCTACTGCTGATTTGCGTCGCGCTTCCCTATTGTCCCATTTTCAAACTCAATTTAATTGTCTCAATTACGCGCTAAACGCCGAGCCCTACAACCCAAATCATGCCAAGGTCGTGACGGGCCAGCAACTGACTGGTCCGTCCAACTTACTGGTTGCTGAAAAGTAGAAGAACAACAGGCGAACTTCATTGAAACAATTTTCTCTAAATTTACAGGCTTCAAAAATATTCAAGAGCAACAAGGGAAAAAAATAAAAAAAAATAAAGAAAGCGACGCCTTAATAATGAAGTGACTTACTGAAAAGCTAACGCAATTTTGTGGCAACTTCAAAAGTTTCTTCAACCCGTTGGCATGCGAAACCCAAGCCGTGGCACTGCCGCTAGCCCCATCCCTGCCTCGCCATTCCCATCCTCGGCGATTGCTTTGGAACACGGCGACGCTCTTGAGGGCGTTGCCTTAATTTTCACGCACAGTTGAATGCACTTTTGTGGCATTCATTAACGGGTACTGCTCCACTCAATGGCAGCGAGACAACGAGACAGATGCGGGGACATATAGCTTCGGGCTGTGCCACTCAGTCGCACAAATTCGGCACAAACTTTAGCCCCATCAGGCTACTGTATCGCGTTTTAGCACCTACTAAAATATGAATATTTGTGCCAAATAGCGCGTAAGTATGCTTAAATTTCTGGCTTATCGTTCGCACAAATTTTTGCGTTGATTAAGACGGGACGATAGACCGATGGAAATGGGTGCTTATAGGCGGCTTTGTTTTCAACACACCCACCTGCCCAAGTTCCCAGCTGGAAATTAGACGCATTTACTTTGTGCAATGCGGCGTATTTGTAATTAACGACATTGTAATTAAAAAGCAACAAACACATACAGTCCTTTAAAAAAGTGAGTTTACATTGCATAATAATTATTCATTAATCTTTTTAGCTGCTCTTTAAGAAATTTGTATTTATTTATTTACTGGATTATTGCGATGACTCTCGATGTAATGTTGCCCATAACAATTGTCGGTAGAAAGTTGCCTGGCATTTAATTCATTTTATAAATGCATTTCAAAGTTGTTCATTGTTAATGGTCCCATTTGGCAAACATTCTTTATAAACTAATGCTAACGTATATTTAAAAGGAACCATACGATTTAGGCCGATGAAAATAACCAATTCTATCTAAATATATTATGTGTGTAAGATATGCATATTTGTGGGTAGGATAAGAAGACTTTAACATTTGAATATTGTTATAAAATATTCTATATGGTATCACTTATACATAAAATAGAAGATATATCGCAACGCACTTGCTCAAAGAAGTAGGGGTAAGATGAGTTTGTATTCACTTCTGATTTAGCAGTGTTCGAGCTTCGAAGACAGATTTTAAAAAGTGTGAAAATTGTTGAAATAAAGCTACTGTATGTTGACTAAGAGTGTTGGGTGTACAGAATTGAGGCCCCTGACAGCCCCTTACAATATTTGATTCATAAATTTCCAAAGAGGCATATCTTTTTTCCTAAACCTTAACTAATAAAAATTTGACAGTTGTAAACTTAAGCTCATAGTTCCTTTTGATTTTTCCCACATTGTAAAGATATTTGCGTTCGTTCCTGTATCATTTTGTTTAAGTTTTGCTTAATAGATACGAAAATACAGCCAACAGGAGTCTTAAAATAGTAATTTTTGAATGACTATTTATTGCCAATACAAATTGTCTGAATAATTATCAATATTCCATCCCCCTTGAATCGGAATATTTTTATATATTTTTGTTTAATTACCGATCTCTATTTAACGCAGTGACACTCACTCAATAAATAAATAATTTACATTAATGACACAAAAAATGATGTATTTTGTTGTTAACTACTTGTATACATATTATGTATATACATTATATAAAAACACTTTCCCCACAAACTGTAAATAAGTACTTACGCACATAGCTGCCCAGACATACACATGTGCTCGTGTTCACATTTTCATAATTTCACACTTAGTTGCGCATAATTTTGTCACATTTGTTGGCTCGGTCCCCTCTCATCCCATGTACTATCTCTGGCGCCAAATAATTAAAATTCCCAGCCACCAGGAGCAACACTTTCGGAGATGCGAGTACTGACAACGCATGCAAATGTTTACTTGTGCCACATGTGAAAAACAAATTTAGGTCTGCAAATATAGGAAATTGTACAAATATTGAACGGAAATATCCTGCGGCTTTGTCAGCCATATTGGCAGCTTTTTGGTCAAGGGATGACGAAAATGTAAATTGCTCGTTTGGCTGATTGAACGGACATATTGAGTTGGCAAAGCCCTCGGTAGAACCTCATTTATTTCGTCAGCAGGACCACGCTAGTCTACAGATTCAATGGACACCACAATTATAGTAAAACAACAGCAGCAGTTGCAGGAACGTTGATAATTTTAAACCAAACTTAATTATATTAACTTGGGCATTACAATTTCACTTTATATAATGCATATGTAAGTGCACTTGTGAGAGGCTATAGGGATAGCTCTAACAATGGCACTAGCTTGTATTTTCCAATTAAGTTCAATTTAAAGTGCAATAAGCTGACAGCTACAGCCACATGAGTCGCCTGTAAATTGTTCGCTTCTGGGTGGTCAGGATGTACACACATTGTGCAGGTAATGTTCGTTCTATATATAAGTATTTATTGTATTATGTTGTATGCCGTTTTACACTGAAATTAATACTCAATAACATTTACACTTTGTAAATCGATTTAAGGAAGATACCCTCTTCGGCCTTGTTCCTTTTATTAAAAAAAAAAATAAGTAAAATACCTTCGGAGGCTAAAGCAACCTTGCAGCCGACGCGTCGTTGGTATGGCATCTGTATATATTGTATAGTAGACTGATATCGCTGACTAAATCAAGCGATAGTGTATATATGTAACTACAAAATATATGTGTAATTTATTTAAATAAATCTACGTTAAAACTAGTGCAATGACCAAAAGTCAAACTTATCCTAAATATTAATATAACTATGCCGTTTGTTTGGTTTGACCCATAACTTTGGTAATTCTTCTGCTATCAATATAAGAGTTATACTGTCTTGTTTCACTTGTTTTACATATGACGCTTTATTTCATGTCCAAAAAAAAAAAAACAAAATCAAAATCGGACAATGTTAAATAACAAATGGTTCGTTTCTGATCCCAGATTTAATTGTAAATATCTTACCTACAAAACTAAGTGTTTTTTAGTTATTATCATAAGGCGGTGACGCGGCCTACAATAATGATAACAAAAGGAAACCAAACTAAACAAAACATATACAAAATTATAAGATTAACATAATAATGTAAGGTTGAGTCTTGAAAGTTTGAAGGGACATTAATAGCTTTATCTATAAAATCTTTTATTATAACGACTCGCTTGCAACTAAGTAGTAATAGGTATTTTTTATATTATTACTTTGTAATGACGCCAATATTCATTTAAATCTAGATCCACCTTTATATTAGTTACTTGTTACAACTTGATGCTCGCACGCAAACCAATTAAATGGACCATTCCTGTGGGTAGCAAATTTTAATTAAAAAAACATTAGCAACACAACTATGTACAAAACACAAACAGACAAAGATAAAACTGAACAAATTGTTGCCACTTTGTCTGTGTGTCTGCCTGTGTCATTTTCTCAGTCAGTCAGTTGCGGGGCAAATTAAATCGACACTTCATGCCACGCTACACGAAAGTCCTTTAAATTCTGGGCACATTGCAGGGTTCCATGTTGTTGTTGCAGATGTTTGCGTTTGTCTTCTATAGATATTTACAACAATTATTTGAATATTAAAAAAGTTTGGCACCCAACAAGCCAAATGGAAACAGAAAAACAGCGCCAACAACAAATTGTGATTAATTAAAAGTGATTGTAAGTGAAATACGAGACGGC